GAAGTAGAAACACTCTAATAGCTCAGTGCTGATTGAGTGCCGTGCACTAGTCCATGTCCAAACACAAAGACTGAAGCCTTCCAAAAAAAAGCAGGGGTAAAACGTGGATTCTGAGGCTGCCTAAAATATCATATCCAATACAAGAAAGTTCTTCAAAGCAAGGAAACTAAAATAGTCTATCAGTTCTTCTGAGTGCTTTCTCCAGTCTGTATGCTGTAGATTGCACTGGATTTTTAACAGATCAATAAATTACTTGTGACTTGAGGGAAAAAGTAAAAGGTAAAGCACTGGATGATGTCACAAAACAGGGGAATAAAATCCTGCTTCGAGGCAGTATGGCCTTGAGCTGAAAACCAATGATAAACATAAAAAAACAATAATAGACATAACCATATTTTGGTAATAAAAAAAAAACCTTGGGTAAATATGTATGACCTTATTTACCTTCCCAAAGTACCCACCTAACTTGCTCACTCCCCCTTCCCACACAATTCTACAATCAATCATCCAAAGAGAAGACACAAAATCGTGATTTCTCAACAGATAACAGAAGGAGCATAAAAATGGTTAGATGTACATAGGAGGAAAGTCACCTGTATGCATACCTTAGAAACAGGATGCAATCTAAATTAAATTCTTTAAAGTCTTCTGTCACTCAGGTAACGCAAACATTCTTTAATAATATATTTATTTAGGCAGAAACTAATAATGCAATAAAWAACACAGATTTTTGTACTCTTAACAATAAGTAGAACAGGAACAAAAAGAGAGGACACCTGCTGGTGATCAGTGATAATTATGATTGGATAACATCTCCCATAAGCAATAGACAAAATTGTTAATATAGCACCTGATTTGGTAATGCCCTTATGCACTTGCTCAGTTTTCAAACACCTCCTTGCGACTTGGCATGTAAGCAGCTTGTGCTTAAGAGCTTTGCTGAACCAGTATCATTGTGAGGAACAGGAATAAAACTGTCAAAGTAGAATAGGACACTTTCWTGTAATGTGCTCAGAAATTCTGGGAATGTTTCATTAACCACTAGAAGGAAGCAATGGCAACGATGTAGGCTCATTAACCTTAAAAAGATTAGGTAAAATGAAGAACAGTTTTCAGTACAAATCAAACCAAAATAAGACATGGCTGGAAGATACAATCATTGCATATTTTATAAAATATAACCTTATTTGAATCTCTTGCAATAAGCATTCAGTCACTTTAAAATATGTTCCAATTCCAGATTAYCAGGCATCTTGGAATTGCTAAGATTTAGAATGCAGTTTTAGGTGTACAGATTTTATTTATTTATACATCTAATCCCTCCTGTCCTCTGATTGTAACAGTTTTAAGCAAAGCCAAACTATTTTTCAAGTAGCTTTTGAAAAATGTTGTGATTGGAAAGAATTGCTAAATTTATATTGCAAGTAAATGTAAAGCAAAAATGGCATAGCATTTTCGATCACTTAATTGGAACTGAAAGTCAAATGAAAAAAATTGAAAAAATACTTCAAAACGTAGACAAATTCACTGTAACAATATATTTCTTCATTATTTGTATCTTTTATTTCTGATGAGTTACCTAAAAATATAGGCAGCTACTAGAAATAGCTAATTAGCTTCATGCAAGCTTAAGTAAAATGTTCAGGGGTCAGCAGCTTAAACAGTCACAGTTCTCTCTTAGAAGCATTTTACAAAAAAATAAATGTGAACTAGATTGTTCAATATTTTATTATTATGGTATTTGAAGCAAATATATGTCCTTGTCCTGAGCTGGATTAAAGCTATTCACTGGCCTGCTCTCTGCATCTTCACTTCCTGATGTCAAACAAACTATGCAAGTTCTCTCACATAGGACATGTACATAATAAAGTTATGCTAAAGAATAAGATCCTGTTCTTACTACTCAGTATATTTTTCAGAAATCTATCCAAATAAAAATCAATCCATCTGTAAAAAGCTATTGCTAAAATATAGTTTATGCAATCAGCAGTTTAAATAGCTAACTTTATTTGCATATTAAATTATATAATTTTATCTGAATAAGTACATAAACTTTTTTATTTTTGGTCTGGTTTGAAAAAGACTAGCATATTAGATGTTGTAGAAGAAAATAAACTGAAGACAATGTGAATTTGGAAATTCAATAAATGCAATTCTGCAAAAATATATTCTGTATCTTTGTTTAAATGACTCCTCTGATTTCCATTGTCACTTGTTTGAACAATCTACTAACATCAGTCTGATACAAATATGTCATTACATTTTAAATGTATCTTGCACCAGAGGTTTCAGCTGTTCCCTCATAACCATTAAAAAGAAAGCTTCTGAAATAAACACATTACCTCAATATTACCACATAAAACTTAGCAGCTTGATACCAGTTTAACCAATTGAAAAGATGTGGAAATAAATAAGTAAAAGGAACTATATTTCAAAAATAGCATATAATAAGCCTTCAAATTATTGTATACTCATTCTAAAGTTCAGGAAACATGAGGCTAGGAAAGGAAAATCCTAAACAATTTTACCCTGTCTTTCCTGTTTATGGACCTAAATACACCTCGATGCAATAAGAATAATTTTAAACAACTTTGTTCATTATTYAGTTTTCCAAGAATTATCCTCTTGGCAATTGAAAGATGACTTTGCTGATCATCCTCTCAATACTTTTCACATAGTACTCTTTAATTCAAATACACAACATTTTAGTTGCAGTCTGCGTTAYATCAAAAACTCACCTGTATAATTCATATGGAAAAAGTACTAAAGCACTTTAAGTACATGCAGATAAACAGGGCCCAGTTTTTTGTCATCAAGTTGGTTTACGGTTGTTCCCTATTGTGCATGTACAAACATCCACAATAGAGAAAAAAAATTAATATCATTAGCAAAAGTTTCACTGACTGTCACCATGGGACAATCCACCTACGGCTTTCCAATCCAGCAAAGTTCATCCCTATTGGTTTTATTATTTTAAAACTTTGCAATGCTATAACATGTAATTTCTCAGAAGTTGAAATGGACCACCAGCTCAAATACTTTCCCACCCAACAYTGAAATTTATAAACTGCTGTGATAGCAACAGCCAACTCTCAAAACCTACATAACTGACTAAATTTCTGACGTTTCAAAGAGCTAGAAATGATCATTGCAAGCACTTCATTTGGGGAGTTATCAAATTCCACTTAGGCTCCATATTTGCTCCGGATACCGTCATGCTCCTCTTTAAAGGAAGTCACTAAGCTTGAAGTTGCTTTATTAGAAGTTCAGCAACAAAGAAAGCAATAGTACTACTCCAGATCCTATCTTACCTTTCTGAGAATATCCAGGGAGAATGATAACATGTTATCAAATCTAAAATCAGGAACTCAACTTATTTTTTAATACGCTGCAAAGAAAGCATCACAGGACAAATATTTGTCAAATTTTMTTAGTGGAATTGATTGCAAAACAGACGGCCCAGAGAAATCTTCTTTGTTCTTGCAGAAATCAGCTGCCATTAGCTACAGACTACATTACTGGTTTGGATTATATCCTCCGGTCTCTCCTAGTCCCACTTAGTACGAGATTCAGCTATTCCTGATTTAGAATTCTTCATTTATCCTTGACAATAAAGGCAACACACAAAAAAAATCTGTATTTATTTCACTGCTTAGTTGAGTTTTATTGTGGCAAGCGATTAACTCAAGCTGCTGGAAAACAATGTCATTGAACACATTTCAGAAAGTTGTGTCTCTGCAAAGTACAGAGGAGACAAAAGCAGAGCTTTATGGTAGAACTGCAAGATGTTCCTTAGCATTTGCCTTAATTAAACTGTGTACAAAACTGTCATATTCTTTTCCCGTGTAAAAAATACATCTACAATGCACTACAGGAAGCAAAAAGATATAGAATTTACAAGTACAATAATAAAAATGACTAATTCAAGGAATTTTTTGAGAAACAGCTATGAAGAATCAGCTATGATTTTAAGTTTGATACTTAGTATCATCCAAGATCAGGCCTTTTAAAATATAATTTGACCTCATTTGTGAGAAAGYTTACCATCTAGGTTTCAGAAAAGGAGGAATGTAAGGCTTTGAAAGCAATACAACCAGCAGAAACTCACCAGAAAGGATACCAACAATCTTTCAATACACATTTAATTTTTAAAAAATAAGTATGCAAATTTATGTGAGTCCACATTTAATACTGTCCTTAAATGAAAATGTGTCACAAAATAATTCTCAGTACTCTTAACTTAAAGGCTTAAAGAACAGCATTTATTTTTCCTGTATTTCAGCACTTCCTTTAAAACATATTATGATATTTAGATCTACAGGAATGGAGCAGGCAAGAAATGAAATGACTGAATCATGGTGGTATGTGCCAAAGTTTCAAACACTTTCTAGCCCTAAGTATGCCAAATTAGGGAATGCCATAATTTCCTGGAAATGTCACCATGCCAAGCTTGGCAGGAAGCATAAGGTCATGTCTGGAATTAGTGGAGTTGACAGTTTAGAAGGAAATGACTCAAAATTTGAACTAGAAGTAAGTATTCTATATATTCAGCCTACATACAAGCCTTCAGACAATGAGTGTTCTAGGAAATCTACTCGGTTATAAATGGATTCAAAATCTCCTGGAATAGAAAAACATGAATATGCACTTTAAGTTCTTTTGGATTACAGAAGTATTTAACTCACAGTTGTAAGTGCTATTCACTGAACGCACAGGCAGCTCTAGCTAGTTCCTGAAATTTCTGACTAACTCTCAGTATGAGCTCGTGTTCCTTGTGCTGATGGTGCCAAAGGGATTTTTAGTCTCTGTGGCTAACAGCCTGAAGYGGAGCCAAACTCCCCTGTGCTTTCTTCAAAAAAAAGCTTTTCCAGTAGCACCTATATGTAACTACAACCAGTGAGTAAAAACCCTTGATTCCATACTGGTTCTGTGTCTCTGGTGAGACCTATTGTATCTAGAGGAATAAGATCTTAGTGAATAAAAATATAAACATATCTTACCTCTTCCCACTGGTGTATGTATCTAATCAGTCTTGAAAGTCGCAATAAACGTAAYAGGCTGAGGATTTTTGTAAATCTCACGATACGAAGTGCTCTTGCTGTCTTGTAAACCTCTGAATCCATTCCTTTTTCTACAATGAGAAAGATATAATCCACTGGTATTGATGAGATGAAGTCAACCACAAACCAGCTTTTTAAGTAATTCATCTTAATGACTTTAGGGTCCAGTATTATTTCAGAGCTGTCTTCATTAACAGTCCCAGTTCTAAAATTCATGATCAAGTCCAATAGAAAAACAGTATCTGATGCCACATTGAAAATAATCCATGGTGTTGTTGTTTGTTCTGTGAAGAATGTGATTCCAACTGGTATAATGACAAGGTTTCCAACCATCATTATGAGCATGATTAAGTCCCAGTAAAACCTAAGAAATGGAAGAAACAGAATGGTTGATGTAATGCGGTAAAACTTGCTTAGAAAGATGGTYTCTGTCTCATTGTCAGCTTCACCTCAAGCACATTTTAGGTTCTGTACCAATTAACTAGGGAATTAAATACTGGAACACACGGTCAGTTTTGCCATAAGATGCACACCAGGTTAGTAGCTATGCTACACTGCTGTAGTGAGGTACAAGCTATATGAGAATGCTGATGTATTTTATTAACGCTAAGAAAACTCTTTAACTCGTTTGATACATTCACAGTCAGCAGAGAAGACAAAGTAATTTAAACATTTTATTATATGCCTTACTGCTCAAGGATATGCATCTAGGATAAAGTCAGCACCGTGGCTTATCACTTCACAGCATATCTGAAAGGTGCATCTGTGGCATTCAGTGGCCTCCTCCAAACTCCTGTCAGAACCTATTACCATGTTTATATAAGTAAAATTGATGCTTAGTGGCAATCACAAGTGCTTTAGCAATGTGATTAAATTTTTTTTCATGGCTTCCATCCAAATGGAAACCCAAATATCTAGCAGATAACATATTAAATGTAAGCACCTCTTTGCAAATGTACTCCTACCATTACTTTGCTGGAATAAACTTATTGGAAGTGAAAAAAGCACTGAAGCAAAAAACAGAATAAAGAATTAGAAAATATCAAAACCTACCCCAACTTCTACAACCTAAATTGAACTTTCATGCATTTTTACAACTTGATAGCCTGTCTTTCAAAGTTAACAGATCCGAATAATAATAGCTCTAACTTTCACAGTAAGAATTGGATACTGTATTTCACTGTTTTTTAGAATATTTCAGAATATTTAAGGTTGGAAGGGACCTCTACAGATCATCTAGTCCAACCTTCCTGCTCAAGCAGGCACACCTAGAGCATGTTTTGTTTCAGAAGTATCTAAAGGCTCCTCTTCAAACCCCACTAGAAACAGTTTGGTACAGATGGTAAAGAGCCACACTCACATCTTTAGTATCTTCTATAGAAACAATGAGTAAGGCTGCCTATTCTAGAGAATATAGATCCATTGTGATGAAAGATTTCAAGGAGATGGTAATATGCACAGAATTTAATGAATGATGATAAATCCTAATAGATAAATTACCATGGAAAGTTATTGTTGTTTAATAAAAAGAATTCAAAGTGAACTTTAGAAAACATACACCCAAAGAATGACCTCTTGTTCTGCTGGACAGCTGGTTTTACACTGTAATCCAMTGCCGAGCAGGCAGTTGGACTAGATAGGCCCCAACAATTCCTTCACATTCAAAATTCTATGGTTTTTAATACACTTCTGTGCAATGCTTCCCTTTCCTGTGTTCCTGTGTTTCTCAAACAACACAATAAAAATACATATTTACCAATGGAGATATCATGAGAACTACACACACTCAGCATTCCAGGGCAACACGATCTGATCAGCCAGACTTGCTCCAGGAAGGCATGGAGACGGCTCTGCCGCTGCTCTCCACAGACTCACTGCCCTTTCCAGATATCAGGAAGGCAGGAGAGGCTTCCCAARGATGTGACTGCTCTGGATCCTGATCGTAGTGAGCCCCTGCCAGCCAACATCACCAGCAGCACAGCGCTGCAGCACTGATCTCCAGCCAACTTCCACCGCACCAGCATAAGCTTCCCACCATGCCACAGACACCCCGTCTTGATAAACGCCCGTGGCAATCAGCAAGAAACACTGAGAGAGGATAATGGTTCAATTGACCTCAGAAAGCTTCAGAATTATGAGCGACTTGACTTGTACACAGCATATGGACGATATTATGTTCCTTAGCCTGCCTATTAAACTCTCCAAACAATCCACATTTACAGCTTCCATTTGTTTCATGTTTATTTCTTAAAAAAAAACTGTTTAGAGATTGCTGAATTGTGAATGTAAAATAATTAGCTGTAACTGCACAACAGTAAGGAGAGAGTACATAGCATTGAAACTGGCCTTAGAATTGTCAGTTGTGAAACTCTTTACCCCAAGGAAAACCTAACAAGACTTTACTATCACCTGAAAGAGTTGACAGCAAAGTACTTTCATAAAAGACTTTCCAAGAACTTCTTTCTGTAGCACAAGCAATGCACTTTCTGTCTGAAACAACTGCAGTCTCACTATCAGAGTTTAACTTTAACATCAGAGTGAATATTTAGAGCTTTATCTAGACTGTATGTATTTTTAATTATGGCTATAACTGAAAACTGGCAAAATCTCCCAAATTTTTCTTGTAATTTATTTAGGTCATCTAATGCTCTTACTGCTTTACCAGATTCCTTTTCAACAACCTGGGAAAATCAAGAATTACCATAGAGAAGCAATAGCTGCTTTCATGTATCACTGCTACCATGATCTATAGTTAATGATTACCACAAACACTTTTACAATGGTATCAACCAAAATATTTCATGAACCTGATTTGGGAGAATACACTTCTCCAAGAAACCCAAAAATGAATGGAAAAAAAAACCCTAGAATAATAAATTTATCTTTCACAAGAGATAAATACATTCATCTGTGGCTCACTCCTAATCAAAGTATTGCTTAATTTCTGATTGAATTTTAAGTTTAACCAGCATCTAACCAGTATGTTACTGAGGCTAACCAAAGTCAAACTCAAATAAAGACCAACCATTTAAGCAAAATAAAGTATAATAATAAACCAGATGATTTTATCCAGTAATAATTAATGGATCTTTATGCACTGTGATTATGCAAAACACACCGCCCTTCCYGATGCTGAATGTCAGTTTAAGTTAAATTCTATGAATTAGGCCTTCAGTAATGAAATAACATTGAGAGGACTATGACATTGTATGAGTTTTATGTTTATATCTTTCTCCAATATGTAGTACAAATTGATTAGTTACTAAGAAAAGGTCTTTTTGCATTATGATTCAATTTTCATTTAAAAAAGGTATCATTACTTTTTCTTCAGAAAAATGTCTCCAAGTGCCATTCTGTTGCTGGTGTTACATGATATTTTTCTTTCAGGTGAGAAAAACTAGATGTAACTCTTTGTCTTGCCCTTCGGTGACCCGTGCAGACCAAGTAATACAATGCGTTCCCTGCCGATCTGTTCAGAAAGTCCTATTCGTGTAACKGAGAGAAAGGTGAAATGCTCAGACACCGAGGAGCAGCCCTTTCTTTCTAACTATTTCAGCACTGATATTTCCTTTTATATTTTTATTTAAATGAGGGTGACTGTGAATTTAAAGCTTAGAATTTCAAAGTTCCATATTTTTATGACTATTTTAAAATGCTGTTAGTAAGCAAGAAAGAGACAGGCTTATAACACAAACTTGTAGGAAACAAGATAAAAACTAAGAACCTGAGGATCTGAATATCTTTCTAAGTTTAGAATGAGAGGGAAGAACTAACTCCAATATTTTTCTTCACTTAGCTAACGAGCTTATTGTTCCTCTGAAGCTAAATCAGTACTGCTACTATTCGTTGAAGGGCTAAGTAAAATAAAGAGGTTAACAAAGCAATCTGCATTGAATTAGTATTACTGAAAAAACATAAATGCTTCTAAATGACATTTCTAATCAATTTACATAAAAAGATCGCACTAATTATTACAGTGAAATTTTCAAATAACACCATTTTGATTCATTGTTCTGCTACACTAACCTTTTTCCTCTTATCTATTATGCTTTCAAAATTTACTGACAACAGGACCTCAGGAACACACCGAAGTTTTGGTGTTTACTTGTTGCCCTGGTGATGGACAACCTGCTTAGACTGATTGCCTACCCAAGTACTGATAACGAACTATTTAGTGCTAATGAGTTCATCTTTGTACCAAGCTTAATAATGTACACTATAAATTCTAAGGAGCATTTTATTTTCTACCTTATACATTCAACAGTGAGGACAGTAGCTTTTAAAGAAGGAAATTTTATCTCTAAGCCAGTTAATTTGCTATCTACTTCACTGCATATACAGTGTAAAARATCATTTGTATGTGCTTTTCTTATAATTTCCTGGTTGCTGGCCACTGACCAGCATGGATGGGGAAGCAGTCATAATATGCTTGTCATATCATTGGGGTGGTTTTTCAGGTTATATGATTATTCTTAAGGCACATCCAGAGAGCTCTAGCGAAAGTCAATGGCCTCATCAATCACATCAGCAGCACCAAGTGCATCTCCCACTATGGTACTGAGTGGTATGACTGGAGGCTACAGGTCTTTGCTTAAGATCACAGCTTTTTGAACTCTACAAAGTTCAAGAAAAACCTTTTTAAGAGTAAAACATAAGAGTAAAATTTCATGAAACTTGGTTGCATATATTCATCAGCCATCTTACATAGTAGAGAGCCTTTGGAAAGGTGCTCATTCAAACTAAAATGTCTTTCAGATCAAATTCAATTCATCTGGGATGATTTTACTGTGTTCTATGATTTTACTGTGTTCTTTCAGAGAAGCAGTAATTGTAGAAAATTCTATCAAGTTTTCTAAAGGAAAGCTGCCTCCTCCTCAGTCAAATCTCTTGCCTGGCCACTTTCACTGGCTCAATGAAATGAATATTCTGACATTTTTTCTCCCACCTTCAAACACAGCTTTATTTCCTTTCCTTCACGGATCATAAGTTCTCCTAACACAGGAATCAATGTCCTATCCCGAATAAAGCAATCTTACTAGAGACAACCATAATTTCAATCTTTATCACAGCATACTGTAACAAGTACAAACCTTGATATTATCCACATCAGAATTTAATTTTAAAAAGAGATGACATCTTCTTACTGTTCACCTCTATTAATGAGATTAAAACAGACAGCGAGATATGCCTGAAAAATCAGTAACTTGAACATAATCTTGCTGGCACATGTGCTGCAAGAGAAAGGAGGTTTTCCTTTAGAGACCCTGATTTTTCCAATGCTTGCACAGATGTCTGTGCTTGAAATCCTTCTGAATCCCAGCCATGCAATCACATCGTAATCAACCCGAACGTGAGGACATTCCC